TTGGATTTATTGGATTTTCTACTAGCGGAGTCGAATTTCAACCGTACTCTCGATGTATCATGTCTACCGGCAGGCTTATTCTTCAGCACCTTTCTTCTCTCATCCAGAACTATTACGGAAGGGGTTTTGATTTTTAGTTATAATTATAGATAAAGATTTTAAGTGCATGAATGTTTAATTTTTTCAGCTACAGCAGGATGTTTAATTCTGGAAAATTACGGTGTTACAATTCCGGATACGGTTTATTTCATTGGCACATACTCACGTCTGGTAATTTGCTTTTAATCTCGTCATAACATAAATAATGTTCTGGATAAGTGTGAAATATAAAATCATTGAAGATGGAATTTGTGTCGTGCTGTGGGTGAATGTGCAAACAAGCGGCCCGTGTTTTATCCCTTAGTCGCAGAAAAAGTATTAGTCTTTTTAGGTTGGAATGGATACCTTCGGGTAATAATTTCAGAAGAATTTTACATCGGTGCTTGAGTATAAGAATTTTTCAGTTTTTACTTACTGCTGCCGTATTCACTCAAATGAAGTAACTAAAAATATAGTCCAGCAGCCAGCGATCTCCTTGTTTCTCCCGGACATTGATGGAACTGTCAATGATTCCACTCTTGTCGATTTATAGACTAACTTCTTCCACATAGCTCCATAAAGTCTTTCAAATGAATCATTCCATTCAGACAGCGTAGAAAGCAACTCATTTTGGGTCAGGCCATTTTTAAAAGCTTACAGGTAAACAGCGTCAATTTCCAGTGCACCAGTAAGGATCTGAAACAAATTTCAGGTCAGAATACCACTGGTAGCAATTTGCACGATTACAGTAGTGCCATCGTTTCGTAATGCTACCAGAGAGCTACTGTGCGGAAAGAAGCAAACAAGGGTATCTGTAATTTCTGCCAAGACGGAAAATCGTCGCCAGAGTGCTACTTCAAGACTGCGATTCCGGAAAAGCTGGAAAATTGAAATTTTAACGAAATACCCTCTGTCCAAGTACTGCACAGTTGCACAATTAGCTTTCTGAACTTCGCGGATCGGCATGCCGCTACTGGTATTCCAAGCGATCTTATTACAGCACGGAATGCTGCAAAAACATATGATCGCACGGGGCTAACCGGTGCGTGTCACAAATGATTGATTTTCCTGCAACGCAGTTGATAATCTTTCCAGTTGTTTTGATCAATGCTGCATCGCCTGGGGATCAGTGTTTGACGGCCCTAATGTTCTTATCATCTTTTGAAGGTACTGTTACTGTTAGCTTAACTACTCTCCAGCAGGAAAAGAGAATGAAAAATACTATAAAAATATGCTTATTATAAAATACTGTTCTTGCAGTCCTACAAAAATAAACGCAAGATGTTTCACTTTCCCCTACCCGGATGCATGCACAGCGTGGATTTGCTACCTAATGTGCTTCCAGATTCAAAACACAATTTTAAAATAAAATTGGCAAGCGATCTAAGAATTATTTTCCTGGTCACTCATGTGCTGCTACTTCTTTGCTTGTGTTTTTGTTTCTTTTATGCCATCACTTTATTATTGATTCCTTCTCTGGAAATTTAAATGTGATTTCCAAATAAACGTTTATTGTTTTTAATAAAAGTAATAATGAATTGCCGACGAATATTTTCACCCCTTAACTAATGCACTTAATAGCGGTACGTTAAAAGTAAACTTCCTGCAAATTTATTGGTTAAGTAAACGCTTTGAATCATCATTAGGGGGTAAATAGTATAACAGACCGTTAAATGCACAGTGCATCAGTGGAAACCCAGGCTAGAACGCACTAGGGAGCCGGTGCGATCATACTTTCTTGCACCAAACTTGAAATAATAAAGTTAACTGCATGAGTGG